GACACTTGGGGACCACCAATGAAGGGCCTTTTTCCCCGGAGTCGCGCTTGTCCTTGGGATGGAATACGAAGCTGTGATAAGTGGCGTCACGATTTAGTGCGTGTTATTCATCGGCAAACAGCCGGGTAATTTGCTTGTCACTCGACAGACGACGATGCGTATCAGGGCGACACAAATAATTCCACTTAAAGAGTTAATTTTCATAAGTTTTCTGGAAGTAAACGCCTGAACAAAATTCACACAAAATCGTCTTTTTCGGGGCGCCAATATTAATTTTACCACCAAAGAGTTGATTTTGATAAGTAACTATTTTGTCAAGCTTCTGCATTAATTTTCCATCATATGTCAATGCTGTTGTTTGAAACTACGTAATTGTTCACTCCATTAATTGTTCACAGAGGACAGTGCAGTTGTCCTGGTACCTCTATATATGCATTTAGATTAACATTCGAAGTCCCTCGCTTTTAGGAATTCTGTACAAAAAATACATCCAAAGTCCCTCCCTTTTTACATATTTTGCACAGCATACTTTGTGTAGAATATGTAAAAAAGGAGGGACTTCGGATGTTGATCGAAATGCATATATAGAGGAACCAGAAACGGTCCTTTTGAGGGCCATGCAACATCAAAACGGCTCTTTTCAGAGCCACAAACCATCAAAATGACCCTTTTCAGGGCCACCACAATTTTCAAAGAAAGAGTTAGTTTGGAATGTTTTCTAACACAAGAATAATTTCACATGAACTGAGAATGAATCTTATTAGTATTAAACGAAAAATGGACACTGACCAATTATTACACTTCGGAAGAAATTCACGAATGTCATAATAATATCGGGAATTTTAAATAACGTTCGTTCAAAATAGTTAACATATGTGAGCGTAGTCCTACGTCAACTGTTCGTACAACCCCATTGGGCTGTCCCTTGTAGTTTTTACTTCTTTCGTCAACTTGATGGATTGTCATGGAGAGTGCTTCGACAAGCATATTGATAGGAATGTACCAGGCGTTACTACCACTGGCGTGCACAGGGTGGGGCAAGGTGGGAGGTGGAAGATGTTTATTTCCACATTTCCAAATTATGATATAAAATAACTTCATTTCTTGAGAACTTGATTTGAAGGTAAAATAGCTTCATTTCATACTATAAGGGCACTGGAAACCTTTTATTGCGTCAATTCCTTTGAGATGGTGTCTGAAAATTTCACCACAAAGGTGCATGAAGGGACAAACTTCAATGAAGTTTTTTGGTCAAAAAATTCTGGTGTAATTTTTTTTTTCAAGGTGGTTCATGGAGGAATAAAAGAAGAGTTTAAGGTTGAAAAAATTCACCTTCGTGGTGGTAAATCGAAGAGAAAGCTTTTTATTGAATATTTCTGGTGTAAAAATATCACCAATCATGGAGGGACTAATCAAAATGAATAACTCTGGTGGAAAAAATGAATCACGCTAAAAATTTGGAGGTGCACATTTAACTGAATATTTCTGGTGGAACGTTCGCATTACTGTGGTGAATGTAGAAGCAAGGTTAATTAATTTTTCTGGTGCATAATTAGCATCGTCCTGATGAATGCAAGCTTCATTGAAAATTTATGGTGGAAAATTTGCACCATTCTGGTGCCTGGGGATTGCACCACAAAGGTGCATAGGGAAACAAACTTCACCGACAATTTTTGGTGCACCGTTCTGGTGAATGGAGGAGCATGTTTTATAGAAAATTTTTGGTGCTTAATTTGTATTGCTCTGGTTAATGAAATGAACAGAAAATTTCTGGTGGAAAACTTGCACTGGTCTGGTAAATGAAGGCATAAGCTTTATTTAAAATTAAGCTACATTGAAAACTTCTGGAGGAAAATCTGCACCGTTCTGGGGAACGGATGGGCAAGCTTTTCGGAAAATGTTTGGCATTAAATTTGCATCCTTAAGCTCAATAGATGAACAAACTTTAATATCCTGATGCATATGGGCGCCTTAGTGGAATACCTGTATAATGAGAGAGAGAAGGATTAGTAATTTCCATTTAATTCCACTACCTTATTTGCTTATCCTTGACAGATACGCGTATTTCGTCTACAATATGCAGACTTCTTCAGTGCCTTGTACTAATACTCGAGTATTAGTACAAGACACTGAAGAGGTCTGCACATTGTAAACAAAATACGCGTATCTGTCAAGGATAAGCAAATAAGGTAGTGGAATTAAATGGAAATTACTAATCCTTCTCTCTCATTAAACTTTAATAATAATTTCTGGTGTAAAAATTGCACCTTTCTGATTATTAGAGGGAAGCTGCTTTACTGAAAATTTATGATGAAAAATCTGAAATATATTGAAAATGTCTGGTAGAAAATGGAAAAAGGAAATCTGCACCAATCAGAAGATTGGAGAACCATTTTTTATTGAACATTAAACGGTGGAAAATTAGCATCGTTCTGGTCAATTGAAATTTTCTGGGGGCAAGATTGTTTTGAAAATTTCTGGTGTAAGATTTGCAACAATCTGCTGCAAATGCTGCTGGTAAATGGAGGGGCAAGCTTTATTGCACATTTCTGTTAGAAAAATTACAACGTTTTGGTGAATGGACGGACAAATTAAACTTGACTTCCGAGAAGAACCTCAAGGGTATTGAAATCTGAAGACATGTTCCAAAAGAAATGATTTCTGGTGATGATTTCATGAAAATTCTGCGAATAATTTCTAGAGAATCAAATTTTGAATGAAATTCCAAGCAAAATTTCAAGCGAATTCCGAGGATAATTTCTAGCTCATTCAGTTCCAATGTGTTCTGAGAAAAAAATCATGAAGAGTTATAAATATAATTCCAGTGGACTTCTGAGAAGAATTTCAAAAGAGATCTTAGGAGAGTTCTAAAAAAATCCGAGAAGATCCTCAAGGATATTGAATTCTGAGAACAGTTCAAAAAGATTTCTGGAGAGTATTCCAAGATAGTTTCAAGATAATTCCGAAAAGAATAACGAGAAAATTAAACTTTGAGTTCCAAAGGGATTTTGAGGAAAATTTCAAGGGAGTAGCGATAATCTCTAGCTCATTCCGGGAATAATTTCTAGAAAATACTGAGGAAATTCTTCTGAAGCTCTAAGGGAATTTCAGTTCCAAGGTGTTCTGAGTAAAAGTCAAGAAGCGTTCTAAAAATAATTCCAGAGGACTTCTGAGAAGAATCTCAAAAGAGCTCATAGAGTTCCAAAAAATTCGAAAAGAACCTCAAGGAATTCTGAGGATGGACTTTTTCTCAACTGTACAAAGTTTAAAGACAGCTCTTGGATTCCCTGATTGAAAAGTAAGTAGGGTTAACTACCCCATTTCCGGACTATTAAGCACAACCCGCACATAGTCTTTCTTAATCTAGCGCAGTTTAGCACCAAACGGAATGTTCTTATTACTCATGGCTTCCAAATTTATTTACCTTTCCGAACGTACCGTAAGATTTGATAAAGAGAAACCAATCGTTGAGATATTGTCAAAAGTCTAACACTGCTTCTTGACGCCAAACTCGGCCTACGGATTCTAAACTCGGCCTAACGCATTGAAACGCCATTGAAACGCCAGTGAGTTCACTTCGGCCTATCGGATGAAGATAAAAATTGATTCGGTCGGAGCGCTTCTTTTGTTTTTGGGAATAATGGGTGCAAACTTTAATACCACGCGTTCTCATTGACTTCATTCGGTAGCTTATTAACTAAAGTATCGTACCAAACGCATAATTGACTTGTTAACTCTGAAATCATGGATTTATTTGAAGTTTTCTGCTCGATAGGCCCAAAATGGGTGATTAAGTGAAGTAGTTCTCTACCCTATTAGTTTGCCATTGAACCTTGGTCGATTGTTGTCTTATTAAGAATTTGTCTAAGAATCTTCTCTGAAAATTTCAAGTCGTTTGTTACGGTGTTAAAAGGGTCAGATGTTTATGTGTTGCAATAAATTCGGGTTTGTCCTTTATATCATCTTGAAAACATGTTGAATGGTCGGCATCATTTTATGTCACCCTGACTGGCGGTACTTATGGACAGGGTTCACATGCTCAATCCTTCGCACAAGTCGTCATTGCGTTAACAATCATGTACACGCTTATCAAAATAATTTTGTGCGTTTTTCGTCCAATCGTTACATATTTTTTAATTTTTTTTAATGATCCTTGGCATTTACGTCAAAATTAAAAAAAAAAATTAGAACTACGGAGCATTGCGAAGAAAACCAGCAGAGGTGACGAGCGATTGTGGCCACCACGAGCAGTTTGCGATTGTCATCAGGTATATTGATAATGATCCGTCGACGGAAACATTCGTGGGTGTGCACCACGTACTTTGGAGTATTCACCATCCCCAGATTAAATGCACCAAGAAAAAAAAATTGCCCCTCCTTAACAAGATTCCTGTGCACGCTAGTGGTTACTACCATCAGCTGTTTGACGATCGTTATTGTGATAGGTCGCAACTCTGGTCATACATAATCGAAAAACTATTCTTTTTAGTAAAATTATATTTTTTACGGGTTTGGAAGGAAAAATTTTTCTACTTAAATAAAGTAAAATAAGTCAATTGGATCTGTTTTATTTTGAATTCAGAAGCTCACGGACTCCATAACCGATTCGGATTCCGGTAATTTCTGTGCTCGGGTTGGTAATGGACTTTATGAGCTACGAATTCTAAGCAAAACAGATCCAATTGACAAAGCTTACATTATCTATGACTTCCACTCACTTTGAAACACATTTTGGATGTTTATGGCCTTTTAGATTTAATAAAAAAAAAAATACGCATTGATAATCAACTTTTAAAAGTGTCTGGATTTATGGACTTAGTGTCCAGATTGCTGCTTAACGAAACATTAACGAAATCAAATTAATTCCAAAGCAAAGAACAACCCATGCTAAGACCGCCAATTCACAATATAAGGTAGGTATTAGCTTGTAAACTTTATTTCAGCTATACACCAGCTGTAGAAGGGGTTCTAGCTATCCAAAACCACATTCATCTTCTCACCTCATATCCACACTTGGCTTCCTCGCGAAGCTCGTTATGTCTCCAGTGATTGCGGGCTTCCAGCATGAATCCACTACCATGATGGCGGCCTGGACGGGCTGCTGCTACCGCCAGCAAACACGCAAATAACAACAACGACGAACGTAAACACCACATACCGCTCACTATCAACTAGAGTTCTTTAGTTCAAAGATCAGCAAAATTGCGCTCAATACGCAGCACATTCGGCTGCTTCCTCGTCAATTCTCAAGTGTTTAAAGTCCGACTTAACTATAGCACTACTGTTTCCAACCACTTGAAACCAATGTTACACCCGAGTAGGACCACTCCAGGCGAGCCTTCGATCGTAACTGAGTAATTTGTGACCTCTTCAAAGAAATTATACTGCTCTGTAGCATCCACGTCTGTTGCGCGGGTGGGTGGGCCGTTAGTATTTTGCCGATACCTGCTTCGCTTCTTTCTCCCTTTTCGCGAGCGATTGTTCCTTCAATTCAAATCAATTGTGTTGTGATGCTCTTTCTTCTTGAACTGATACCCGCATCCCCTATCATGAATGATTCAAAGTAAGTATTGCAGCTTTCGCACTTCGTTAGACTCTTGCGTTAAAAATTAGTACGCAGTAAGATTTTTGAGCTGGTTATAAAACCCAAATGTTGACCTTCTTAAAGTTTTCCAGAGCTCTAATTCATTACTGTAGCTTGCCAATGACTGCTTCTTCTTATTATTTGCATTTCTAGCTTATTGCTTATTGCATATTAACTTATTGCGTACTCTCAACTAACTTAGTGTTCTAGACGCACTTCCACAGTTATCAATTGAGAGCTTTCGATGTATGTACTATGTTTGCATAAGTTGCATTAGTAATTGTGTGGCATTCTCTATGCCCAGGAAAGTCGAGAAATTTTCCAACCCGAAAAATTCCTAAACCAGACCGGAAATCGAACTCAGCCACCTCCAATATCATGCTTTGTAGCTGCGGCTTTAACGACTGAGCTAAGGAAGGCCCATGTCAATAGCTGCTACTACTTTTAAATAAGTTGATTGTTCCATGTTCTGACTTGTGCGAAAATTTTACAGAGCAATTAATTGCACAGGAGTGAGTCCAAAGTGGTGCAAAATGCGCAATATTCAGGCTTCGACGACGATGACGATGGCTTTACAAAGATAATGAGTGCGTTGTTATTTTTCCGATTTTAATTTGTCAAATTGCTGTCACTGCTTAAATTAAAAAATGCAAGGCATAGGTACCTACCTCTTGAGTGGTAGACGGGGCAAGATGAGCACCCGGGTCAAAAATTTAATGCATTGATCTGTATCAATGCGTAGTTACTAGAACAGCCATTAAAGATCTAGGCTAGACAATTATTGACTGTATTAATTGCAATTCTTACATACAAAAATGTTGTCAACCATAGGGTGTCCATCTTGCGCCGCGTACCCCACTCAGTGGTTAATTCCAGAACTGCAAACTGTGACCGATTGCGATAAGTGAGCTCGGACCGTTTTACGTAATGTGATACATTGGCTGACTCAGGAAGGAAGATTATTATGATCGACGCTATTATGGGCTAATAACCCATACTGCAATGGATGGATGGTAAGGGTCGTGTGCAGTTTGGAGTGCATTTCACAAATGTTTTGACTGTATTGATTCCCGAATTATGATATGTTGGTGTTTATTTTGTCTCATCACTTCGGATTCATTTGATTAGCAAACGTGCGAATTTCCATCGGATTCATAGTGATTTTCAGTTTGTCACCAATCATGGGCGATGGTCGGATCTGACACTGAATCACCTTTCCTGAAAAACTTCCACTGATTTGCAGCCAAGGTAGTTTCCCGAACGCTGATGATGTCCTTGAGATTAGAACCTACGGCAGCCGAATGCTATGGATTTTCGTTCTTCTCGAAAAGGTGCTAAAATCGCACCAGGTACGTCGGAGGTTGCTTCCAGTGCTCAAATATCAACAGGTTGATATTCTCCGGAAGAGACGCAGACAGCGCCGAGAATTAAAAAAAAGGAAATTTTGTGTTATTTCTAAAAGGTTTAAAATGTCTATCACAACTCACCATATTGTTAAAATTCGACTTCCATTCCTTCAGCGACAAATCGGTGGCGTCGCTCAGAAAAGTCCAAGCTGGCATCATCACATGATTTTGCAGCGTTCGTTTGCTTACCCGACCGGAGTTCACCTGGGCATTCTTCGTGCCAAACACGAGATAGTGCTTTCCGCGGGCCCTATAGTCGCTAAATTCATAGTCTGGCGGATAGAATTTCGATCTATCAAAAAGCGGAACCAATTCAACCAACAATTGAAAAGGTACTGTTTTGTATTCGGCCTCGAACACAACGACGATATAGGCGGAACGGTGGACTGGGAGATACGGACAGCACAAGGTTCATCACCGGGTACCAACTCCAGGGCAGGATAGGCAGGGATAATCCAAACAATTCACATACTGATGCTATTAGCAAGTTATTTTTTATTCTATTCTTTAATTCTTTGTAGTTCACTGGTTGACTTCCAATTTTATTCTGAACATCTTCGGTAGTAGTAGTAACGTATTTCTTTATTCATATCTTTTTGTTAGTATTACAAGTTTGCACTTTAAGTGGTACAGGTTAACCTTTTTCATCCTTTAATTCCTATTTATTTTACATCAATGATGTATATTTCTGTGTTTCGTGTAGAATTATTTGTGCCTTTATATGATAATTGAATCATCGTTTAATTTGATAACCTAGTTTACCAGCGCTCTAATGAGCGTGTGCTCGGAGTATGTAGCACCCTGGATGAAATTTTCGATCGAATCTTCGATGCGCTCCTGAATCGTCTTGCACCCTGCGGTACGATGCAGCTCGCTTATCCTCGTGTCGGACGGGGCATCCAGGATAGACCTCAGCAGCCGGTTTTGAACCACTTGCAGCTTCTTCTTGTGGGTCTCAGCACACGTACCCCACACCGGCATAGCATAATTGACTACCGGAGCGATAATCACATTGTATACTGCCAATTTGTTTCGTTGCGACAGTCGGGATCGTCGGGATATCAACGGGTACAACGATTTCAGTAGCCCAATACACCTGTTTTTAAGCTTGTCGGTGTGGGCACGATAGAGTCGCTTGTCGTCGATGGTAACACCAAGGTAGTTGACTTCATTTGACCAGTCAACGGGGCTGCTGTTCACTCGGATGAAGCAGTCCGCTGGAGGTAGTAGATTAGGTGATGGTCGATGTCGGAAGAGGATGGCTTGACTCTTGGTTTCGTTCACTTTGATTTTCCAGCTGGTCAGGTACGAGACGTACGCCGTTACACCTTGTTGAAGCCGTGACCGGTAGTGCATGGGAGTTCGACCGTTGGCCATGATTGCACTGTCATTTGCGTATAGCGCCAGTCTGCAGCCAGCAGGGAGTTGTGGAACGTCGGAGGTGTAAATGTTATATAGGATGGGACCGATGAGGCTGCCTTCGTGGAGCTCTGAGGTGGCACCTGAAAAATGTACTCGAAACGTTCGATTTCTCAAATAATTTCTTACCATTCTCGTGAGGTATTTTGGGAAGTTCGCCTGCACCATCTTATGGACAAGTCCATCGTGCCACACGTTGTCGAAGGCCTCTTCCACATCCAGGAGTACCATGGCTGTGTTGTTAGAGAGTGACTTGTTCCGCTGAATGGTGTTCTCAACTCGGACTAGTTGATGGACGGTAGAATGCCCCTTCCGAAAGCCGAATTGCTCCGGTATGATGACGTGGTGTTCCTCGACGTGTTCCATCAGATGCTGGAGAATGAGCCGTTCGAATATTTTGCTGACTGCTGATAGCAGCGTGATGGGCCTGTAGCTTGATGGAGCAGTTGTATCCTTTCCAGGTTTAGGAATAGGGATGACTTTCCCTGTCTTCCATCTGGTCGGGAAGTAGCTTAGCTGGAAGCATCAATTAAATATTGCACCCAGGAATCGGAATGCTTTGCTGGAGAGCTTCTTCAGAACCAGATTGAAGATAGCGTCGTTGCCGGGGGCCTTCATATTCTTGCTGCGCATCACTGCTGCACGTACGTCATTTTCGGTCACTTAACCGACGAACTGAGCATCGTCGACTTGCTCGTCAAGGTGGTTGATTGTTTGTTGCACTGTATCTTCGTGGGGACTAACCATGCCTGCACCGATGTTGTGTGTTTCGATGAGTTTGTTGGCGATAGCGTTGGCCTTCTCCGATGGGAACACCGATATACCTCCGGCGTCGTCTTTCAGTGGAGGAACTACTGTTGACCTTTTCTTCATGATTTTGGCCACCTTCCAGAACGGCCTCGAGTAGTCGCTCAGTTGTTCGATGCTGTTGGTGCTGGTTCCTGATCAACATCATTCGATCCCTAATCAGGCAGCTGAGGAGAGAGACTTGTTGTTTTTTCAGGAGGCATCTGGATCGCTGGAAAATTCTTCTGACTGTGTTTCGTTGCTGTATAAGCTGCCGGGTGTAGGTATCAATCATGGTGAATTGTTGCCTAACCGGTATCCAGCGGATGCTAGCTTCTTCTGCAGTGTGCACGATTTCCTCGAATACTTCCAGTTTGTTGTCGATGGCTTCGATGGATGGCAGATCCATATTTTCGGGAAGTCGTGAGTCCACCAGGCGTCTGAAACCCACCCAGTTGGTCCGATGGTAATCTCGTCTCATCGTCACCGGCGCTGTTGTTGGGTTGAAATTTAGTTCACACACTACCGGGTAGTGGTCAGAGCTCAGTTCGTGGTAGGTGACTGGTTTCGAGAGTGCCAGGTTCGTCCGTAAAGTGGATGGTACACGTACCTGAGCTGAGGTGGTCTGCCAGGAGGGCACCGTTTTTGTTGCAGTTGGTGCACTCTTTGTCGAGCACTTCTCGGTAGCGTGGGTTTCGCCACAGTTGTTACATCTGCTCTTCAGGTGGCAGTTTCGGGTTCCGTGGCCGTGGTAAAGGCAGTTCATGCACTGCGTTACGTCGGCTCGCTTGTTGCGGTAGGCTTCCCACCGTACGATGATGTGCGCAACGTGCTTCCCGTCTCTCAGTTTCTTGAGGTTGGTGTATCCCTTGGCAAAGTACACCAAGTAAAACGATTCATCGAGGTTTGTACAGTCCCCCTTCCTTTTGATGATGTGAGCCGCCTGGCCGATGAGGTTTTGTTCCTTCTTCAAACGTTCCAGAAGCTCTTTTGGGTCAACCAGCGGAAGACCACGGAGCACAACCCGGTAGGGTTGTTCATTTGGTTTGTCGTGCGTGTAATATTCATAACCGCTCCGCTTCAGATGTTT